TGGTGTGTTTGCCTGGTGTTGTTTTTCCTCCAGGAGTCTGCTCACACTCCCAGGTCTAGTAAAGCAGGAAGTACATGGTTGCATTTTTGCCAGAGTCATGTGAATGGACACTAGGGAAGGGACATTTCAGATATTGGCAAATAAGAGGTGACAAGTTATGGAATTGATGCTGAATAAGGAAGTACATTAGGATTGGACAGAATGTCAAGGAACTGGGGCGCCTGGGTGGCTCAGTCCATTGGGCGTCTGACTTCAGCTCAGGTCATGATCTCACAGTTGGTGAGTTCGAGCCCCGCATCGGGCTCTGTGCTGACAGCTAGCTCAGAGCCTGGAGCCTGTTTCAGATTCTGTGTCTCCCTCTCTCTCTGACCCTCCCCTGCTCACACTGTCTCTATCTCTCTCTCAGAAATAAATAAAACATTAAAAAATTTAAAAAAAAAATAAAAAGAATGTCAAGGAACTGTAGGTCCCAAGAGGCTGAAAAACCAAGCGTATTGGGAAATGAAAGAGTCTGAAATACAGGCGGTGCTGGTTAGATGGAGGGAGGTCTGAATTTCTGCCAGGTGACAAAGTCTGATGGGAGTGGAAGGAGACATTGGCTCACAGGTGGGTGTTGTGTGCACAAACCACCTGGATCTCGAGGGTGCTCAGACTCTGGAAGGGCTTTGGGAAGGAAGCCTGAGAGCTAGGCACTAGAGTCTTCTGGGAATCAGGAAAAGGATGGATGTCAGTAGATGACAGGTGTGAGAGGGACACCTTGATGGCCTGAGCCTCCACAGGGTTTTCACAGGGCTGAGGAGCAGTGTGAAGTGAGGGGATATCAGCAGCACCTCTGGGTCCTGGAGGGTGGGGCAGAGTTTGTGAGATGTGAGAAAATGAGCACTTTTCCACCCGATGGAGCCACAGGGAGGCTTCAGTCCCCGAGGAGAGCCAGCTTTCAGAAGCTAAATAAGTGGGAGAAGGACAGGAATTTAATTATGGAAGACGGGTGTTCCAGAAGGGCTTGGTGTAAAAGAAAGCTCTGAGAAAGGAAGCCCCCAGGAGCATGAGGAGAGACCGGAAGCCTCCCTGGTCATGATTCTCTGGTATTCTCTCTAGGTAGTAGGGTTTTGAAGCTGAATGAGATTAGCTGGCTAATATTTGACAAGGGAAGAGGTCCCATTGCAGGGAAGGGACAGGGATCCGGCTGTGTCTTGGACAGATGGCATTTCTGATGAAGACCAAATCTCTCTAGAGGAAACTGGTTGTAAATGTTGGATTGAATGGGAATTCTTTGGAAGGGCTCCAGGCCACAGTAGTTAGGCACATCAGCTCCTGGGGAATAAGAGTTCTTTTGTGGTAAAGTGGGGCCCAATGGACAGGTGCTCTGCCAGGATATTGATTGCCCTGTGGCTCTGTGCTAGGTCTTCTAAAGTGTTGAATTTACGAAACAAAAACAAGCCACACACACCAAAAAAACAAGTTGGCAGGGATGCCTAGAGATATTCATGTAGAATGATGGCAAACATGAGTATTTTTCAGTATAACTCTTGCACTCTGTTACCTATTTGTAGATCTGACTTTAGGTGAGTACCCACAACCTTGTGATCTTGTGGGGCATTCTAGATTTTGGAACGTGGTATGGAAAGACACAGAACAAAACAGCGTAGTGGCTGCCTGGAATTGTAGGTGTGCCCTTTTCCCTTTTTTATTGTTACTAAAAAATAGAGCTAAGCCCTTTTTACTTTATTTTCCTACCCTGAATTTCACAGAGGAAAATTTTATTACATGCTCCTAGTTGGAGTTTTATTGGCCTGCATACTTTAGGAGGACTGTGAGTCTCATAACTGACTGGGTTTCTCTCCGGAAATCCACAGTAATGTCTGTGGCCCAGTTTTAGCAGGTGTGCAGAATTCCATGGTGAGTGTGCCTAGCCTCATTTGTGGCTCTAGTTTTTCTCTCTGTCCTTGTTTTTTCCTTTAATCTTTCTCACCTACTTCTAATTTATGTCATTAAATCATATTTCATGTATCACATATCTTTTCTAGACCAAACTATGGTAAAAGTAAGTAAAACAGCTATTGGGTCAAAAAAGCGTGAGCATCCTTCTGCTTCATGATAATTTTTGTTTACCTTATTGCTTTCCAAAGCATCAAACAATTTTACTACGTTATTCAATCCATTATGCCCATAAAGGAGCTTTTAAAATATAAAAAATTATTTTGTGTGTCATTATGAAAGCATTGTATGAGAACGGTAGAAGATTTGGAAACAAGGAGGAATATGCACTACCTAGTGTCCTAACGAGGCACCTAAAAGGCTGAGTATAAAAAGGACAGTTGTCATTATGAGTTCTAGATTTTTTTCTAACCTGTCATAGCCACATTTTAACACCTATGAAATAATAATGTAGGTACAATTAATTATGAATCTTGCTGTTTTCTCTTTAAAACATATTGAAGCAGGGCGCCTGGGTGGCTTAGTCAGTTTTAAAATAAGCATGTCTAACCTGAATAAGTCGAAGGGGAAGAAAAAAAACCAGTTCCCCAAAAGTGAACTTGTTTACAGCAGAAACAAAACTTGTGTTTTATCCTACCGCTTCTTATAGTTACCAAATACTGATTTCAAAGTTAGAAATGTTACATAAACTGTAATTTATGTAGAGGATTTGCAAAAGCATAATAAAGAGAAGTGATCACTTGATAACATGTAACATTTAGGAAGTGAAAAGTAGAATCCTTCTTCAGTATGTTTACAGTGAAAATGGGTTGCATTCATCCCACATCAAAATCCACCTTTCATGGGCCCATCATCGACAAGATGGAGCCTGTTAGGGGGCTCAGTGCAGATTTGAAGAATGTCCCTTCTAACCCTCTTCTTAGTGTTGAGGAAACCTCGGCTCTGGGAGGCTTGGTGGCATGTCTGAATCTGGTACATACTAGGAATGCTCACGCACAGGCTTCCCCCCACCCCGCCCCCACCAGCCTCGGGAGTAGTATCAGACCACCTACCCTTCAAATTCCCAACAGCCCTATGCCTGAAAATTCATCAGCAGTGATTTTTTTCCCCTTCTAATTCAAGCATTCTTTTTTTCCGCTCTCCAGTTCTACAATGCTAATCCGTTCCGGGAGTCTTCTAATAAATCACAAATACTTGAATGAATTTCCTCCCCTCTTCCCACGCATACCTTCCATCATAGGGGAAGGTTGGTATGTGGGACTTTGGAAAGAGGAAAAGCTACAGAAAGAGTTAATTGGGGTTCAGCCCAAGACCTAATCCTTTAATTTCATAATTTTGCTCAGACTGTGTGAGCACGTCTTTTAGAGAGGATGAAATCATAATTTTCAGTGCCAAAGCTGGTCACAGCTTTTTCTTTGATGGCTAACTCTTGTCCATATGTTTTTAAGATTTTCTTGGTGTCATGGATTTAAACAGACTTTTGGCCTGAAAGAATAAATTTATAAAATGTAGCTTGAGCCATTTTTATTTTTGACCTTTCATTTCTGAGAGCTATGACTGTAGTATGCAGTCTATACCCTCATGGGGAAAAATGGTTTAGCTGAGACATAGTTTTAGTTCGGGCAAACTAATGTGTAAAAATCTTGCTTTGGTATAAATTAATTTCATTTTATTTAACATTGGATTTCATTACCAAAGTGCTGCAATCACATTTCAGGAAAATTAACAAGAATGAGGATGAGATGAATATTTTTCTGCAGTACAATGACATCTTGGTATTATTCACTTCTAGATTTTTTTTTCTTATCATCTAAAATACAATATAGTTCCAAGGTTATGGTTTTCGAAGAATACGGTACATGAAGCAAGATGTTTTCTATTTTCATCCAATCTGGCTCCTAAATGAGCAGGTGCTCTCTTAGTTCTTTCTGTTTGCTTGTCTCCCTTCTGCCTTTGGTAAAACTTAGCATATTTAGCAGAAGGCGGAGACTTAATTTCTTTTAACAGAAAACATGGATTGGGATTCAGTAGCAATATCCTCAGAATTATTCTCCTAAGAGAAATCCTCAAAGTTAAGCCTGGAGGAAATGAATCAAGTGTTTCTAAACAGATTCTATTTTGTTGTTGTTGTTGGCTAGCATGTCTTTGTTGCTGTCATTTTATTTTATTTTACTTTTACAAATAGTTTATTGTCAAGTTGGTTTCCATATACCACCCAGTGCTCATCCCCACAAGTGCCCCCCTCCATGCCCATCCCCCCTTCCCCCCCCACATCCATCAGTCCTCAGTTTTTGTCAGCATTCAAGAGTCTCTCATGGTTTGCCTCTCCCCCTTTCCCCCACCATTTCCCCCCTTCTCCCCCTTGGTCCTCCGTCAAGTTCCTCCTAATCCTCCTATAAGTGCAAACATATGATATTTTTCCTTCTCTGCCTGACTTATTTCGCTCAGCATAACACCCTCAAGGCCCATCCATGTTGCTACACATGGCCAGATTTCATTCTTTCTCATTGCCATGTAGTATTCCATCGTATAGATAAACCACATCTTCTTGATCCATTCATCCGTTGATGGGCACTTAGGCTCTTTCCATGTTTTGGCTATTGAGAGTGCTGCTATGAACATTGGGGTCCATGTGCCCCTATGCATCAGCATTTCTGTATCCCTTGGGTAAATTCCTAGCAGTGCTATTGCTGGGTCATAGGGGAGTTCTGTTGTTAATTTTTTGAGGAACTTCCACACTGTTTTCCAGAGGGGCTGTACCTACACTGTTAGTAGGAATCTAAACACATTCTGAGAGATCGTGGAGTTCCATTTCCTAAGGGTAGGGGGAAGAAAACAAAACAAAGACAAAACTCAACATTTTCATTCTAGATCCTAGACTTTTGAGCTGTGCCCTGGGGGCCTGGACTCCTCATTTTGTGTTGGGAATTGCTGCCTTTTGGCTGGTGCTTTGGTGGAAGGAAAGCGTGTTCTTGCTCAGTTTGATTTTTTCAAAGAGAGCTTTTTTCCTTCCTTTCTGCCAAGACATGGTACTTATTTTGTTCCACCCTTCTTATTTGCAGAGTACACGGGTAGAGTTTGACCTGCCAGAATATTCTGTTCGTCGAAGATACCAGGATTTTGACTGGCTGAGGAACAAACTGGAGGAATCTCAGCCTACTCATCTCATTCCCGTAGGTACTAAGTCCTTACAGCTCGTTCCTCTCCTTCCCTGCATTGTCTTTCCTGAGGATGTTTACCCAGTCCTCTCCGCTTAAATTCCTGGCAGACTCTTTCTTACCTTTATACCACATTCTCCCACCAAACGTACGTGAGACGTTTTCATGGTTACTGTCTAATGTACCTCACGTTCGGGGTTTTGGATTCCAGTTCGCTCTCCTCATGCTGGTTTCTCAAGTAGGCTGGGGTAGATTTTCACTTTCATTATGACAGGTTTTTGAGGTCTGGAGAGCCCTAATTCTGATTTACTGCCTCTGAAAGACTGTCTGTTTTACCACCTTTCTAGACATATGTTCCTGAAGTTTGGAGGCTGCCACCAGGTGATGCCTTGCATGACAGCCAGCTGGGCTCTCATTAGACCAAGAATCTTGCACACCAGACATTCAACCCTAGTTTTTCATTTCAAAAACAGAACCCAGGCCACCTAACTCCATTTACTGCAGCAGCCTAATATTTATCCATTACACATTAGAAAAACAAAACAAAAAACAAAAACAGAACTAGAGCAAATAAAATTTCAAAGGCTAATTAAATCAACATACACATTGAGTACGTTTCTGACTACTTTTTTTTCCCCCAGTAGAAATAATAACCATTTAGACCCCAGATGTTTCTTGGGGCTTTGGGGACCTTAGCACAATTTGGGTCATAAAACTCTTTAGAGGGGCTTTATCTTTCAGTAAAAACCTTGGTTGAAGAACTTCATAGCACTGCCAGTTTCCATGCTACGAATGCACCTTCCAGCGCTTTCCCTCCATGCTTGGAAGAGGCTGAATATGTCGTGATAGAAATGACAGGGTTTGCCCGGGACTGCATTCTTTCTTGGGGAAAGAAGCTCATTTTTAAGCAGTTGGAACTGCTCCTTAAAACAGAATCATAATTTGGCAATATTAGCAGCTATGAATCATTTTTTTTCATAGACTTTTTAGCCGAGAACAGTTTTAGATTTCCAGAATTATTGCAAGGTCGTGTAGTGAATTCTCATAGAGCCCACACCTGCCTTGGCGTAGTGTTTTACATTAATGTAGCACATTTGTCACAATTAACGAACCAGTAAGGATTCATGATTATTGGCTAAAAGTCCTTCATTCAGATTTCCTCAATTCTGCCTAATGCCGTTTATCTGTTCCTGGATCCCATCTAGGTAGGATGACACCTTTTGTTTAGCTGTCCTAGCTCCTTAGGTTCTTCTCAGTTGTGATACTTTCCCAGGCTTTCCTTGTTTTCAGTGGCTTTGACCATACTCAACGCTGTCAGGCATTTTGTGGCATGTCCCTCACGCGAGATTTGTCTGATGTTTTCCTCATGATTAAACAAGGGTAATGTGTTTTGCTGGGGGCAGGGCAAGTGCCGTTTTCATCACATCCTACGAAAGGTAGGATACTAGCAACAATATTTATCACTGTTGATGTTAACCTTGATCACCTTATTTGATGTAGTGCTTGTCAGGTTTCTCTCCCGTTCCACGCTGTACTGCTTGGAAGGAAGCAGTTCTTTATGCTTAGCACCCACTGCGTGCCGGGCAGTTATGCTCCACCTGCTGGCAGCTAGCGTATTTGAAGTTTGGTTAGACAGCGACGACACCTGTTGGTAGCACTCATGCATCGACCCTGAAGCCAGAACTGACATGAAGATGGAAGTCTCCAGAATTGAGACTCTGGGGAATGATCCAGAGTATCTTTGAGTATGGCTTCCTATGGTCAAGGTAGAAGCAATGAGTAGGAAAGGACTCTAGAAGCAAATGGAGACATAAATGTATTCACAAATTCTTGGTACATGTTTGGGGTGGAGAGAGATATATAGGAAAGCATCACTAACTCAAACACGAAAGTCAAACTGGAAACAAACTCCTGTTTTCCCCTTTAGAAATCTTTCTGTAGCAACTTGACTAGGAGGTGTCTATCTGTTATCAGGCACTGACTTTGTGTTAGTCTTTTTACTAGGCCTGGTAAGTACCGTGGGGGAGGCCAGGGTTTTTAAGATGGACGAAGGGCCCCTGACTGGAAGGAAGGTTTGTTGTCAAATGGAGACCTGGTTAGACATGCAAGGTAACTATTGTTTATATGCTCATTTCTTTATCTAAAAAGCAGGTTTATTACGATATAACTCATACACCGTACAATTTACCCATTTAAAATATACAAGTCAGGGGCTTTTAGTATATTTAGTATTAGTATTTAGTATATTAGCATATCAACATTTTAGTATATTTAGTATACAGAGTTGTGCAGCCACCGGCACAGTCAGTTTTAGAACCTTTTCATCATCCCAGAAGAAACCTCCTTCCCCTTGCTTGTTGCTTCTAACCCTTTCTTTTCCAGTGCCTGGCAAACCACTAACCTTTCTGTGTCTATAAATTTGTCTATTCTGGACACTTCATATAAAGCAGAGTCATACAGTATCTAGTCTTTTGTGACTGGATTTTTTCACTCTACATACTGTTTTCAAGATTAATCCATGTTGAGGGACTTGTCAGGACTTCATTCCTTTTTGTTGTCAAAATAATATTACATCGTACAGATCTTACCACTTTTATCTACCTGCTCACATTTGATGGACGTTAGAGTTATTTCTGCTTATCAGCTGTTATGAGTAATGCGGCTGTGAACATTCATGCAGAGATTTTTGTGTGGTCTTATGTTCTCATTTTTCTTGAGTGTACACCTAGAAGTGTCATTTCTGAATCATATGTAACTGTATCTTTAATCTTGTGTGAAACTGCCAAGCTGTTTCCAAAGTGGCTGCGTCATTTTGCGTTCTCACCAGCAGGGTATGAGGGGTCCAGTTTCCTCACATCTTCATCCACACTGTTATTTTCTGCTTCTTTGATTATAACCATCCTAGTAGGTGTGCAGTGGTATCTCATTGTGGTTTCGATTTGCATTTCCCCGACAACTAATGACGTTGAATGTTTTCTATGTGCTTGTTGGCCATTGGTCGTCTTCCTTGGAGAAATATCTTTTCAGATCCTCTACCCGTTTTAAAATTGGGTTATCTTTCTGTTATGGAGTTATACTGGTTCTTTATCTATATACTGGTTATTATACTAGACACAAATCCCTTATTAGAGATAAAGATTTTGCAAAACGTTTTCTGATGAATGAGTTGTTTCTTAACTTCTTGTAAAACTTTTTTCATTTATTATTTATTTTTGAGAGAGAGGCAGACAGACAGAACACGAGCCCGGAAGGGGCAGAGAGAGAGGGAGACACAGAAAGCAAAGCAAGCTCCAGGCTAAGAGCTGTCAGCACAGAGCCCAATATGGGGCTTGAACTCACAAGCTGTGAGATCATGACCTGAGCTGAAGTCAGGAGCTTAACCGACTGAGACACCCAGGCGTCCCTCTGTTTACTTTCTTAATGGTGTCTTTTGGAAGTACAAAGTTTTTAATTTTGATGAAGACCAACTTATCTGTTTATTCTTTCATTGCTTGTGCTGAAAGGTGTCTTATCTAAGAAATGATCGCCTAATCCTAGGTCATGCAGGTTTACACCTGTGTTTTCTTCTAAAGTTTTTATATACTAAGATCTTTTCTATATGCTAAATGCTTCTAAAATTTTATATATTAAAAGGCATATAGCTCATACCTTTTAGTTTTTTATCCATTTTGAGTTCATTTTTGTACAGTAAGTTTTCATTTCTTTAACCACTGAGGCGGAATATCTTCCCATGACTTTATTGAATGTTGGCATTTCTTTTATGACTTGCCTCTTCATTTTCTGTTGTTTTTATTGGTTTATAAAAACTCCATATCTGCAAAGGAAGTTAAACTTCATTTCTGTGTATTTAAAAAACATTTGTTCTGGGGCACCTGGGTAGCTCTGTCAGTTAAGTGTCTGACTTCAGCTCAGGTTATGATCCTGCAGTTTGTGAGTTCGAGCCCCACATCGGGCTCTCGTGCACAGCCCACTTCAGATCCGCTGTCTCCCTGTCTCTCTGCTCCTCACCCTCTCTCTCTCAAAAATAAATAAACATTTTAAAAGTTTTATGAAAACATAAAGAAGTATTTGTTTTGATGTGAGATGGGAGGACCATACTCTTTTCAGGTGGTAAAAACCACTGTTGCGTTTTTCTGTTGTTCCCAAACCACTTACGAGTAATCATTCATCTTTATCAATAGCATTGGTGCATCAGACCAGATCATGTTGGACTGGTATGTTCTTAGGCTGCTTCCGATCCTTTGGTTCATCGATCTTTCTGGTCTGGTGCCCCTCCTACACTGTTTGAATTATAACTTTACAGAACATTTCAACATCTGGTTGTACAGGTCTCCAACTCTGCCTCCACCTGCCAGTATGCTTTGTTTTCAGAGCTCTTCTGTCTGTTTGCACACATTTTATTTTTCAAGGTGAACCTTAGGGTCTTTTGAATTAGTCAGAAAATTTGGGAGAATGAGTTTCTGGAGTGTGTGTGTGTGTGCGCGCGCGCATGCCAGTTTAATTCAGCTGCTGTTAAAAATGCGTGACAATTCCTGACCTTTCCGATTCTACTGCTGTCTTAGAAACATGGAGATCAAGTTCCCATTTTTCACTGGGCTTCATCAGAACTGTGTGCAGTTGTAAGTGAACAGCCAGCCAGCCTGTGGTTCTGGGGAGAGACCCGCATTCTTATATTTTCCTTTCCCCATTGGCTGTCCTGAGGCCTATTTCCAGCCCCTCTGGCTCTGAACTTGGCAGCTTCTGGGACTGCACTGGAGAAAGGCAGCCCTTTACTTCCTAGGCCAACCTTTCCTTTGCCTGAATAGAATAATCACAAGATAGTTGATATTGATTGACTTTTCTCTCCATTCAGTCTTTTCTGCTTTGTGTCTTTAACAAATTCTGGCCTGTTAACCATACTTTGATATTTTCTGGTGCAGCTTTTAAGTTTATTTATTTATTTATTTATTTTGAGAGAGAGAGAGAGAGAGCTCGTGCATGCACACAAGCGAGGGAGGGGCAGGGAGAGAAGGAGA